TTGGAGTTTAAAGGTCTATTCATTACGTATGAATGAAATGACCAAGTTGACAAATTTGGTAAATGTGATTAATAGCTTAGATTCTTGACAGTTAGTATACTTTGCAAGAATAATGCACTATCAGCGAAAACTTTCCGTTGTTGTGAAACTTTTATAATCCAAATTATAACTTGCTATAGTTGAAATCTCATCACAATTACATTTTCAAAATGAATACTTATTAAGAAGTGATCAATACATTTAACTTCGTGCAAAATGTTGAATTACAATATTACAGAGTCTTGTATTCCATCTGAGTAAGAAAATTATAGTACTCATAGCAACAACCTTAAGTAAGTGGGTTATAGGTAAAACACTGTGGTTGAAGTGAACTTAGCGCCTGGTTGGAAGTCAAGCCTTGGAAATCAGTCAATAGAGTACCATGCTTGTACTAGTTTGAATTCTGTTGTGATGTAACTTTCCTATCATCACTGAATATGTAGTTTGATCTGAAGATTGAGATTATTTCAGACAGTTTCATTGACCAAATAACCTTCAATACACAAATAAATGTTGTGACTTTGCAGAGCATAGTATTATTGAAGACTAAAGTTATTTCGCATCACTTACTGACACGCAATTTAGATCAACAGCTTCACCCACTACTCGCAACCATTTGACACCGAGATTTTAAGTGGTTATTAAAATGAGAGCCTAATATGAATGTTACAGAATAACGACTATAACTAATTGGTGCACAAAAGGAGAAATAAAGGTTTAATTAGAATGTAAGTTATTGAACTGTATAAATTGTTCATCTCAATAAACAAATAAGCGGTTGAAAAGTCACTCCCGATTATCAAGAAAATCTGGAAACCCATAGTTCATTATTAACTGCAGTCCGCGAACCTTCAGATGCTTAAAAATAAGAAAAACAAATGATCAGCCGATTGCTACGTTTAACTGTAGTTAGTTACAATAAATCCATACACATGGATACACAAAAGGTCAACGTAGAACCCAGCATAAAATTGCATCAGATCAAGCTGCCAAATTAGAATATGGCGAAAGGATAAAAACAAGAAAAGATACTGAAGTAGGCTAACGTGAAAGGGGAACATTCAAGACTTTAAAGATGATAGTGAATGCATAAATCCACACCATTCTAACCAGTCTTCATCTACTTCTCCAAGAATCTCCAACCATTGATTCCTACAATCTTGGGATGCCCAACCAGACAGCCTATACCTCCTACGCGGCCTAAACAAACAGTCAGTAACTTCATGGAGTAGTGTTACATTTCAGTCTGATCTTCCTTAGCTTCCCCATAATCTAATCCTATATCGATTTAGATTGCATACCGAAGTACTTGGTGCTTCGACCCATGCAACACATATTCATGCTGTCTCACTTACTGAAGGTTCACAGCTTTATCGATTGAGTTGCCTGGTACCCTGCATACAGTCTAAAAATTTCTGTGGCTTCACCACATTGGAGCAGTTACACGAAGATACCTGTGATCAGAAACTTGTAGCGTATTCATATCTTCTGCTTTCAGGGCCTTTTGAATCCGGGTTGATGCAACTCCTCAAGTAAGTAACGCATCCTACCACATTAAATGTTTATCCATAGGCTAGTTGTTACACATCAGTCATGAAGCACAATCTTAAATTTGGATAATGTAATTAGAAGACGTAGATTATCTGAAAAATGTGATGTATTAGCGCTATACATTTCGAACAATCTGATCACACATTTACTTGTTAAGGCATTATATATGAAAACTGGAAGTGGGGGAAGGACACATATGACATAAAGGAATTCAATAATAAGAAAGATAATGAGAGGAATAAAAGATAAGACTTGAAGACAATCTTGGTAATACGATAAAATAAGCATTACCAAGGTAGGCTTAATGTAAGGACAAACTGTTTTTGCACACACAATGGGGGGTTAAATTTATTTATGGCTAGCGCCTCAACAAACTTAAGTATACGCCCCTGACAGTTTCGGTACAAAATTGTAAAGGCTGTCTTGATATCAATTCTGTGACTCTTATCAATGATATGTTTCGCAATGGATGATGATGGTTGTCTGCCATCTGCGCTTATCAATGTTTGTGAATCCAGCTGCTTTCGTAGCCACTTTGGAACATGTTCCCCTACCCTCAAGTGCATATCACGATTCGTCCTCCCTATGTATGTTTGTCCACACACACATGTAAATTTATAAACGCAATGGGATGTGACACAATCGTTTATACAGCGTTGAGGTCTAGGTAGCAGCAGGTGTTTGGTCTTCTCAACTATGATAAGCTTAGCTGCATAGTACGTTTTGCTAACAGCAGACCTTAACCTTCGTTTTAATATTATGCTATTAGATTCTCCTCTGTATGGTAACGCGATGTAAACGCATTTCTTCGAAACAGAGTACAGATCAGGTTTGAATCCTCGCTGATTTTTGCAGCGGTTTATGAACTTCAATGGATATCCATTTTCCACTAATGTTTCCGTTAGTATTTTGATATCATCATCCATTGAGTCCTCCGTACAAATACGCTCGATCCTTTTAAATAGACAAGTTACCAAACCTCGCTTGTATTGGGTTGGACAAAAGCTATGGAAACTTAAATACTGACCTGTCCAAGTAGGTTTCCTGTAGATCGACCGTTTTATTGAACCATCATTTCTACGACTTAGGAGTATATCCAAGAATGGCAGACGGTTTTCTTTTTCTTCTTCACTTGTCAGGCTTATGTTGTTTTGTACGTTGTTAAGTCTTTCTAACAAACATGTTGCATCTTCATGCTTATCACATATCACGATTATATCATCAACATATCTTTTATAGAGAGTAACTTTATTGATGAGATCGCCGGTCAAGCCCTCAATGTGTGACATGTAAATATCAGCTAGCAATGGTCCTAAGGGACTTCCCATAGCCACACCATCTATTTGTCGAAAATGTTCACCTTCAAATGTGAAATGAACTTTATCAGTACACAATAATAACAGCTCTCTCAAACACGTTGAGGGGATAGGGAAAGAAGGATTACTGGAAGATATATGATCACAAAGAATGTCAATGGTTTTAATTAGGGGTACATTAGTAAATAAGGAGTTGACATCAAATGAATACAATCTCTTATCTTTGATATTAATATCACTGACATAATTAACAAGTTCAAAAGTATCTTTTAAAGAAAACTTACATAAATCATTTCGAATAGGAATTAGAGTTTTTGCTAACCATTTCGCCACTTTATGTGTAGGTGAACGGAACATGGAGAGTATAGGACGTAAAGGATTATCTGTTTTATGAATTTTAGGCAATCCATACAGATTAGGTAGCTCAGACCCCATTGGTTTGAGGGAAGCGAATGCCTTAACAAGCAAATGTGTGATCAGATTGTTCGAAATGTATAGCGCTAATACATCACATTTTTCAGATAATCTACGTCTTCTAATTACATTATCCAAATTCGTAAAAGGGACTAATTGTTTCAAAATCTCAAATTTGACAGATCAGAAATGGACATCAAGAATGCTGAGATTTCTGCTCAAGGTGTTCAGAATGCAGTTCGTCAGCGCTTTCACCTGACAGAGTTACCTCGTCTTCATACTTTAAGTAAACCAGATGCCCTCTTATAAGTAATTCGACTCCCAAAAGAAACATACTCAGCCCCCTTGTGCACATCCATGCAGTAGGCAATGAACTACACCTATAGTGTGAGGCTAGTGGTACTATCTAGCTGCCCAAACGTCGGTAGATAGAGTGAGGCTCGAACTGAAATAATTACCGATACATTTTGTGTAGGCGCAGTGGACCAGATATATAAATATGTCGAAACATATTAGTCATCGGACAGTAACCGACTCAATTGTAAATGACCTAACTTTATATCCGAGTGATGGAAGTGTAAATATCCGATAGCAGGAGTTTCCTAAAGGTTGCGGATACATCTTTATAAAGATTGTCAGAAGTCTTAAGTCTATATCCAATACATCTCCAGTCGACTGACTTTTAAAACCAAAAAGAAATGCTCCACATTTAAAAATTAGAGTAGGTAACTGGATATGGTAAAATAGACTCCTTATAAGACAACTTCATTTGTTTCTAAATTTCACAAACCTTTCTAGCAACATTACACAGCTTTTCCGATAGTTGTGGAGTCTTGCTCTTATGTATTGTGGTGCAGTAATATAACTTTGACTGTTGAATATTTCAAATTATACCATACCTACCTTCGTTTTCACCCTGATTTTTGTATGTCAAATACTAATTAACAATACTGGAAATTTTACAGGACAGGAAAAACAATGTGATCTAGAGATTTCCAACTTGTAGCGACATCTGTAGCCTTCTAAAAAATAATTATTGCATAAATCGGTTCACTTTATGTAAATCTGATTTATTTCTCATACCGCTTTCTGTTTCGCATCTTAATTAACATTGATTTTTCGGTTCATTTTGATCAGTTCATCACAAAGTTCACGATTTTTTATTTGCCATCATACACAGCAACAAGAAGCGTAGACAAAGTGGATTTAAAGACAAGGTAGGAATTGTAATCTCGATAGTTTCTGCTTGTCAGTACTCAACCGAACCACAATGAAGATAAACTTCTGTTGACGTATTATGGTAGTAAACCAAAACAAGCAGATAACTGAAAAACATGGACTGAAACTGCAAAAGGAGGGCAGTGTTTATAGTCAATGTTCAATGTGCACATGAAGTATTAAGAATAAGAACTAAGAGCTATAGTAGTGTAGTATACTTCAAACAAATCGATCAGTTTCTGTGCTTGTATGTGCGTAACTTAGCAACCGTACACATGCCCGTGCCGTGCCCCAGAGAGTGAGCCACAACTACCGCATACCAATTGATGGCAGTACGTGGTTGGCCAGACCATGGTAGGTGGATGGAGGAAAAGCAAAGAAAGAAAGCACTAAGTTATTTATAGAAATGAATTTATATCAAACGCAGTAGAAAACAAATCATAAACACAAAAGAAGCTGAGGTTAAAGTAGTAAAGTAAGATTAAATTGGAGTACGACGGATTCCAGTAATTTCATATCTTCATCTACCATAAGTTTGACAAGATCTTTGAAACCGCAGGTAGGTTCCCATTTTAGAACTTCCTTTGCTCGTTTGCAATCACCTAATAAGAGGTCCTGTCGAAAAAAAAATATAATGTTATGTAAGATGAGAAAAAGGTTTAATTTCAAGACATACTTTGTTGCATACGTTTACTTGTAACTGCTATTAGAGGTTTGAGATGTTCAAAAAAAGTAGTGACAAGAGGTTTTCTAGTGAACAGTAACAAGAAATATTGCACTCACCACTTCTGCGGGGCGGAAATAACGTTCACTAACACGAACAAGAACCTTTCCTGTATCTGAGTCAATACCCACTTCGTCAATGCCAGTTCCCTTCCATCTAAAATTAACAGAAATGGTCGAAGTACACGAAATAGCTTACAAACTGTTTCCATACATGAGTCTTTTGTTGCCAAAAATTACAGAGGGAATCGGAAACATTTTAAAGAATGTAAAAACTATGACGGTTGAAGGATTTTACAAAAATCGGGGAAATACAATTTTGCATAGTAGTCACGAAAATAAATAATATTTTTAAAGATTGATTTCAGCCAGCCAGAGATAGTGACTTATAACTGCTCATTAGTCTAAATTTCCACGATTCATATCAGGATAAAAAGGAAAATGACTATGAAGAAACATGAAGGAATAGAAGTGTTTCTTTTAATGGCAGTACAAAAACCAGATGTTGCACAGCGAACATAGAGAAAATCGGTGATTCAGTCAAATTGAGAGGGGGAAAATATGAATACTTATGTGTTGCTACGATCAAACTCATAGTTGTAACACCTAGTCGAATCGGAAACTGACACTTATCTACACAGATGCGATCCACAGTGTGGTGATTCACAGGTTGTCGTCAAATCCTTTTCGGTGATGAAGGTTCAGAAGTTTTTTGAACGGTTTACTTCAATTACCTAATGCTATACGCGTAGCTTCTACATTACTTGTACAATTATTTTCGTATGCGCGACGATACTACTACACAAAATGAGTGAAGCAGTTGCTTATATCTCGCGTATAGCATGTAATAAAAAAAAAAAAGAACGATTGGAACTATATCATCATATGTAGTTAGTCGAAATCAGTGCAGGAATTGGTGATACTAAGTAACGGTTCAAGATGTCACACGTGGTATCAGCACATTAGGATCAAGGATAGAGAAATGACGAAGGGAAATGTAACTGAAATTCTAGGAACTAATTGGAGAGAAAGAGAAAACAGAACGGTAACAAGTGTGATATGACTAGAATGAAAACAAGAATAGATAGATATGTCACCGCTGAGGTTCATCCTGGACCATATCGCCTACACTTACCAATCGCCAGTTTCGGTTACCAAGAGAGCCCCAATCACATTCCCTTACACCATTCATAGAAAAAATTAGACTTCATGGACTCATACCAAGTTATAATCCGGCTGGCTCACAACTTCATCCGCCAAGTTCCACGGTCTTCGCTACAAAAAGAACAGGGGTCGAACACGTGAAGCTTTCGCATATATTTCAGCTTCAATGGCCATATTTTGTAGTCACATAATAGGACAGGGCGAACTGCCGAGCAGAACACTCAACTTTTCACAGGCAATCGGATAACTTGCCAGTGCCACAGATGGCGTAAATTTGTGTAAGCAAAGCGAGCCCTTTTAATCCATGCGGAGATTTCATTAATCCACCAAGTTCGATCCAACTTCCTAAGTAGATAAAGTGGGCAACGATACGAACCACTTTACTTTCTACTGTTAGCCGGGACACAAATGTAAACCGGGACAGAAGTAACAACTGACACTCAAAATTTGATGAGATGAATCCAAAACGTTCTGAAATAACCACTCCAGGTATCTGAAAACCTCTGAGTTTTATAATTGCCACCTAAAGGGATAAGTCACCTGTTTCCTGAAAGTCAACTAAGGAGCTTCCTGTGACAAGGTTAACCACAATAAAATCAGATGAGGATAGGTAGACTCCCATAAGAACATATGTAATTAAGTTAAATGAGAAGGGAGAAAGTGGACATTCCTGAAGAACACTACCTCACGTACATAACTCATCTGATATTTCATTACAGGCTTTAACACAACTACAAGTCCTCGAATATATAGCCCTCAGCAAAGTGATACACTTATCCGGAACCAATTTCAGAAAAGTTATCATAAGATCTCTTGGTTGCCGGAATCAAATGCCACCTCAGGCCAAGAAATACACTTTATGTCAAGTACGCATCCTAGATCCCACTACTAGCCGCTACCCGTCATTAATTTGGTAGTTTAATCTGTTTATTTTTACTTTCGTTTGTAAATCTGACATAGAAAATGTATTGCCCACACCAGTATGCCGCAAGGTAAAGCATGATGTAATAATTTTAGGTTCGATCTTTTCCAACCCTCCCTCCTTAGTGAGAAGGCAGCATCAGCGTGCCACTTCTGATCAATCATGGGAACACCATGCACTTGCCACAACCTCTTCCAACCACTTCGCCCATGGACCCCATCATAGCGTAGCAACGTACACTATAACGGTTCTACCACTTTTCAACTAACTGCTCGGGGGAACAAAGCATTCAACCAGTATAGCTATGTAAGATATGCCAGTCTGACAGTTACGTCAATGTGGCATCCATCGGTTGGGAATAAAAAAGTGTCACCTATGTAACCTCATCCAACTAACAACAGCATCAACAACAAGCACCGATCACCATTAACGGGAGAAACCTGAGAAAATAGTCTCTTTCACCTACCTAAGCAGCATCGTTTCAACTACAGGTGGCACAGATGATGTTAAAACCAGGATCGGAAAGCACGACAGGCCTTCATTGATATGAAATCACTGTGGAGATCTACTGCACTTAGAACAAAGAACAAGTTCCGGACTTTCAAAACCAATGTCAGCCAAGTAAGTACTTTCATATGGTTCAGAAACTTGGCGCGTCACGAAAAGCATTTCCAACAAACTACAGTCATTCATCAATAGCTGCCTATGCTCGATACTGAAGATCAGATGGCCAGAAGAGTAAGAATAAGCAACAAGAGACTCTGGTCGGGTAACGAACCAACCAAGAACCTATCACCCAACAAATATGCAGAAGTGGAGATGGATTGGGTATACACTGAGAAGACCATTTGGGGACATCACGCGACAGGCCAGGCACTTGAGTGGAATCCAAAAAGGAAACGACGAGTTGGGCGAGGGTATCCGAGGGTGACATGGAGATCATGTGAAGAGGAAATGAAAGCTCGTGGGCAGTCGTGGCGCCAGGTTCGAAAGATTGCAGAGAACAGTGCAATGGAGGCGTGCTACTGAAGCCCTATGTTCCACTAGGAACCCAAGGGAAAATGATAATATAATAACAATAATATGACCTCATAAAACAATTAATATAGATAAATTCTTTAAAGATGATGACAATATTTCAATAAAAATAACTGTAAGATGACAAAACAGGTACCGTAGTGTAGTTTGATAATTGAAAGCATGGTGCTCAAGGAAAGGAGATCACTCAGGTGAAGATGAAGAGATGCTGGACAATATATATAATTTCTAGGAAAGAACTTATTTGTCTCAAAATAAAATCGAAAATCTGTGATATGTATGAGAAAAACAAATAACGATACATTATTACCTAAAAGGTAGAGGCATAAGCCAAGCTAACAACTTCCGAAATCACTTATTGTTGGTGACTAACAGTGGAATCCAGGATGTGCGTTTCGTCCGGGCGTTGGAAATGATAGGCCCTGGGTCCGAGTCTCAGTGGGAACAGCATCATTCACTTGGATGCACGTACACCCAACTCATAAGTTCGAAATATGAAGAAACATGAGCTACGAATTTTACTGCTAGGCATCAACAAACAAATTATGTCATAAGGGATCCACAGACAACATATTAAGGTATCCGCATAGGAGCCGTTGTGCCAACAGAGGTCGATGAATTCAATCCAGTATAGCAAGGAATCCAAAATATCAATAAATAACTTTTGAAGCTGCTTGTAACTTGAAGCGGAGAATAAACTGACATTTCACACAATATAGACCGAGTACGCAAAGTGTTGAAGATGTGCTAAGACTATCCGGAATTCCTCGAATGTGGAACGTGCAGAAAAGATAGTTTCTGTACGAATTGTTTAACCAAAGATTAGGGATGTTACTAAACAAAATGAAGGGGGGAAGTCAGAATCTTAAGCTAGCAGCTATTGCAAATCAGAACTAAAGTATTTATAAATTAACGTCCAAGGACAATATGTAAACCATGGTTTTAGACACAAGTCTAACAAAAAAGGACATATGGCTTTCTAAGTTTACATTTAAATCCCTATCCTTTGGCGGAATGTGCAACGCGTTGAGGAGAAATCTAGGTATGTTTAACATGCGTTTCGCATCTGTCAGATGTAAGATTATGCTCCAGGAGTAGTCTGCAACCACTCTCAGGTCAAGGAGAGGGAGTGAAGTGGTGGAATTTGTCGACCACTTCGTTAACGTGTGGGGTACACCAGCCCGAACGTGCTGGTTGCTGATGAAACCTCAGCTTGGATACAGAAGATCAGTTTGGTATTTTTCACCTCGCGCCATCTATGGGGTTGACTGGGGAGGTATCTGACTATCTTTCAGACAACAAGTATACTGCGCTGTAGTTCTGTCCTGTTATACGGCCGTGAGACATGGTCGTTAAAAGAATATATGAAGCGGTAACACGGCGTCTTCATAGAACTCATGTTCAATGGAATCACCGTGTTAGCAATGTTGAGGTCAGGCGAAGGGCACTAGGCAAGTTGATTGGTGAGATTGTGAACCCTCATCGACTGAGATGGCTTGAACATGTGCTGCGCATGCTAATCCCCTGCTTAACTGGATGTTATACTACGGGAAGATGGATTACATTAGAGGCAGGTTCAGGGTGACCAGATAAAGACGTGGCACCAGTCGATGAAGTCCCTCACTCTTGTTCTGAGTTATAGACTACCTCGCTGGGGTCCTCAAGACGAGTGGAATTAGTGGTTGAGAACTCTTGGTGATATGGTTGAAAAGCAGTCACAGTGGCGCAAATGTATTCACTCTTTGACATCGTTGAAAACTTAAATATTTGTACTAATCTTTATCTTCAAATTGTTCATTTTCCCACACAACTTGATATTTTTTTTATATCAGTCTTCTCCTATCCACCTAGTCTTTGTATACTACTGTGAAGTATGGTAACTTGAGCCAATGCACTTGTATGCGAGGTTATACGCTGATTTTGTCTATGTTTGTGTTGCAGTAAACATGGACAGTTCATATTTGAAACAAGGGATACATAGCATGAATGATGAGTATCAAAGTGTGTTTCTACAAAAGCATTTTACATAAAATGAAAATATATACCTACACTATACGAATTCCAAGATGTTCAAATGCTAGATTAGTGAATTCACGAACAGAATGTTTCTCCCCAGATGCAATAACGAAGTCTTCTGGAGTATCACGCTGAAGCATAAGCCACATAGCTTTAACATAATCACCAGCAAAGCCCCAGTCACGTTCAGCATTCAAATTACCTAGTTCCAATACATCCTTAATATTAAAAGTTGGAAATAATGACCAGAAAATTAGACACAAGAACTTGAGATAACAGAGAAAATGAATAAGAACAATCATTCCACATAAACCATATTTGATATAGCATTTAACGGTGTGATAAAACAATTCCGAGTCACATTTTAGTACAATTCAATACCGTTTTAATATCCTTTAAAACACCAGCATATAGAAAACCAAAGTAATACTTGGTAACGTGTGGTGCCTAGCATTTCACATGATGAAATTCAAAACATTTCCGCTTTATGGATTGTATTCTTTATGGAACAAATGCCTATAATCAATGCTGAGTTGCTTTTTCAAGTTTAACCGTATGGTTTCTTTCCTTTTATTTCTAGAAAAGTCAAGAATTAAACTATGCCACATTCGTGTCATGTCACTAGTCGATTAGTTTAGACTATCATAAAGTGTGAGATGGCTGACTGTAGCAAGACCATAGTGTGATATAAAGCACATAAAGCCACTGATCTGATTTTCGTGGCCAAATATGTACTTCCTGGATGCTTATTGAAGCATGAGAAATCAAAGGCTTTAGAGTATGTGTTGTGGTGTAAAACTAATCTCAAAGACAAACAAACATTCAGCCTTTATGTTCAAAATCTTGAGGAATTTGAATATATGAATAAATGGGGTTCTACATTGTTCCGTTCAGCTGAGAATACGATGACGTCAAAAATACTACTGAAACAATAACCAGGCAAATAATGCTTCAGTTTTCAAAATCAGTCCAT